CTACTTGATTTCTTTCATCATGCTGAATAAGAATATATATACTTTTTGGGGATCGGAAATGCTTTCTTGTGCCTCTTAAATAGTTTACACAAACCTAATATCCACCCTTTTAATCCAATTGGTATAAACTGGGTGTAAAAGCAGAGTGTGGTTTGCATGTTAATTAAATATAGAGTTAAATCCGTATTTTTTCTTTAGCATCACCTTTAATTTGTAGCGTTGCAAATTGACTTTATTTGTAATTCAGAATTAACGAAGTGCAACGCACCCTGGGTCGGAACTCGCCTGCCAATCCGCACAAGCCCCGGCCGCGGTTGCAACCGAAGGTAGATTTTCACATGGCCAGCAACCCCACAGCCGCGCCCCAAGCCTTTTGCAGTTGCGTTGCCTTAACCCATTTAGCCGACAGTATTCAGTGAGTGCGTTTCAAATTTATGATATGTTTTGTGTGTGTGTGTGTGTGTGTGTGAGGGTGTTCGGCGTAGAGGTTGTGTGTGCTCAGACGTCTGCATGGTTGGCGATAAAGTTGTCGCTGTAACCCACAGATTTCAAGTCCAATTCGGCACTGCACTCTCTAATTACACAAACTTATGTTAATGACTTTCACTCTCAGTCGATGAAGGTTATGGCTTGGACTCTTCATGCATATTCATGGCACAAACACACAGATTTATACATAACTACATACATATGTATGTATCTAGCGACGTACACAATACTTACTTATACGTGTACGTGTGTGTTGAGCAAGCGTTCGCAGACGGCCTAAATGAAGTTGCTCAAATCATCATCCAATTAGAACTGTAAAATTATACTAATTACAACTTTGGAAATTAGAAATATGCAAATGTGTTGCCTTGTCATTCGCCTTGCTCTGTTTATTGCCAGGCCGGCGCCGACCGTCTCAGTGCCAGAATTCGATGAAAACGTACTCGTGTGGGTATCTGCGTGAGCGTGTGAAAGTTTTGCGATTAAAAATTTGCAAAGTTATATTTCATATACATACTATATATACCGAGTATACTGGCATACTCGTACAAGTAGAAAGTTGCATACATTTGCCTAAATTATATTGACAAGAGCGAGGACTACGACGACGAAGAGCACCACAAGGACAAACCGTTTCGAGAGTGGGGAGATGGAAAGTGCAAGTCTGCAAGGCAGCTGATAAGTGCGCTAAGCTCTGACGGGAAGTCATCAAGGCAGGCGAGAGAAAACTGACAGAGGGGCCATGGGGGTCAGAGGGGGGCAGCCAAGCGAGGCACACATGAAAGCTTAGCAAATGCCATGCATAAATTATGACAATGAGAGTGGGGAGGGAGTTGCGAGAAAAAACTGCCCCAAAAAAATAATAATTAAAACAAAATATTTAAAAATTCCACGAAGCGCAGCAAAGCGCACTCCACCGTGAAGTTAGCCAACTTTAAACTTTGGCCCGTTTGCATTTCAACTAAATTACGAGTATATGTTTCTCTCTCTGTGTGTGTGTGTGTGTTTGAGAAGTCAGTATGCCAGGGGTAAGTTTCCAGGTGTACGGTATTTTGGATGGAATGATATCATGGCTATAGCCAACCCTGTGAATGAGTGCGCTACACTTCTGATTGAGGCACGTTAGTCACTCAATTGATGCACTACCAGCACCACTTTTTGTTTAGCAGTGCATTCGCTAATTCCAATTGTACTCATCTACCTGCTTTGATATGCCCTGCACGTCCCGTTTGCGCAATTCCAGCTTAACTCAAGTCACGCGCCCTGCCAGTAAATTCAATCAATTTGCTGGCGACACGAAAGTGTGACAATTGTTCTCCAACTGGACTTGGCTAATTTGTGCTAATTGTAATGCATTTAGAGCTTGCATTGCGCTGGAGGTCACAACGAATGCCAATGTGAATAAATAAATAAAGAGTGTGTAATTTCACATTTAAAAAAAAAGCCACTCGATATGGTTTTCTTGCCACAGTTTGTAAAGTTATTTTTTAAGCATTTCATTCAAACAGACAAAAGTATTTATTTTTTAAGTTTTCACTGATTTTCTAAAGGACCAAAAATGTAGCTTCAGTTACATTCGAGTACATTCATTCTTTACACTAGTGAGTGGTTAATTTTCAAGGTTCAACTTCAAAATTCAGATTTAAATACAGTAATACTTGTATTGCTAATGTTTATTTATTCGCTTGCATTCAAAGAGCACACTTGGCACAGGGGCTTTGAAAATGTCACATTCCATATAAAATATCGAAGAGTTTAAGGTCAATAACATACATAAACGTGTAGTTTATTCGATCTTGATGCTATAATCGAACTTAGTAGTAGTTAGGGATAATATTTGTGTAATTATTATTATTATAAATTGTTCTTAGGCAGGTAACATACAAAATTAATAAATGCTGAAAATGTAAGAGTAAGCGAAAAAAAAATTAAAATGCTCCTAGATATAGAAAATTTAAATTTCAAAAACATAACTTAAAAGTAACTTGGTACTTGTAACGCTAGGATAAGTTAATAAATAAATAACTTTGAAATACTTGAGAAACTTAGATACATACATACGTCATACATTAATCTTTCTCTCCATCAAGGGTGTAACTATACTTACGAATGAATCTCTCATTAGAAAACTTGCTATGAGGACAAAACAAGTGATAATAGTATGTACTTCTAATTTGCCAAATTCCGATCATTTTGAGAGTAATGTAAAACTGTTTTACTGTATGTTTGCAGTACGAAAAGTGCAATGAGTTCTGTTTAATGTTCAATGTTCGAAAATGCCAAATGCTATGTATATGTTTATAGCCATATGGATGGTTCCATAGATTTCCATTTGGTATGAAAAATAGATATATTTAGTTAATCCCTAAGCTAAAACGGATCTGATTTGTTGGTATTATAACGTGTTGGATAAACATTTTGTTCATTTATGAGTACACCACGTGCGCAGCTGTTGCCTACCGGCCTTTCTGCCCTTCTGCCAATCTAGCAGTCAGCCAGCTTGTCATTCCCGACTGCCTGCATTCGAATTGTCAAATTAAAACGAAGGATGTCGAATTTGATTAGCAGAGCGTGCAGAAAAAGAAAGACACAATACAGCGCACAGCAAATGCAAAAAAGGATAATGAGCCGCTGTATTCAAGCGAAAGCAGCGTTTAAATGAAACTTTTCCCAAACTAAGTAGTGGAAAGACTAGGGATGGACAACACAAGTGCTCCCTTGGATTAAGCTAAACAGTAACAATGTAAGTGTGAATAAAAATAGTATTTTAATCGAAATTTATTCTCGAACGAGCCTCGATTGTATTATATATCAGTCTAAAATTTGAAAGTAAAAATATACAACATTACATACGAGGAAAACATTAAAGTTTTAGGCAGGATTCTTGGATATGGTAAGAGGCAACAAGGCTTTTGGTACTCGGATTAATATTTTCACCGATCATTCCTATGGCAGCTATGATGATGGAATTCCCCAATTTGAACGAATAGCATGCAACACTACTTGTATACTGCAACAATGCCCTGGAGTATGTCACAGGATGTCGTTACAAAAAAGGGGACTGCTATAGCAAGTAAGTAGGCGTAGATTTAGGAGAACAATCTAAAGTTAGTCAAGTTGGAGCAGAGGAAGGCCATCCGTTATTACGAGAATGGATTATAAAGTACAATCAGCCAGATCTGGTCTGCTTCCCTTTGGAATGGCCACGAAACTGAAATAAAAGCTTGGCCAGAAAGCATACTCGAGGCAGCTACAAGCGTGACATTACGAAGCTCTTAAGTACTGGGGTTAATGTGGTTTATTTTAAGCTGTTGGGCCCAAACATGTCGGTTTGCAAACTGACATATTTTGAACTTAGAACATCAATTTAGAATATACGATGAGGATGAGGAGTTTGAAATGTTAAGTCTCATCTTCAATAGAGTAATAGGCATTGTCGTACTTGCTTGCAGAAATGTACTGCAATAGATATCACTATTTTTGGCGTGCACCCCTGAGAACTTGTGTGAACTGAGCTCACTCAGAGTCAGTTAGAGTCAGTGAAGCGGACAGCCATTCCTTCTGTCATCATTGACAGCACGCACACACCCACACACCCACACAGCCAGAGAGAAGTGCAGCTGTGTTTTCCTCACCAATACTCTCTCCCGAAAGTCTTCCTTCCTCATCGTTTCTTCGTTATTTCAACTGTAGCAAAACAAACACGCGCCAAAGCACTCTCACACACTCGCGCACACTCCTTTGAGTCGGGGATAATTTTGTAATTATTTAACTTAATGGAAAACAAACTTAATTTTCGTGCAAAAATTAAAAGAAGCAAGTTCGCACGTGGCAATCACCCAGACTCTTGGTGTGGCAGCTTTTTGTTGCCGCATTGGTGTGTTAACGTTATTCATGCAACAATTAAACTGTAATTCTATTTAATTATGTGTTTTTGTGTGCGCAAACTTGCGTGTTTCTCGCTAATTGACAGCGCGCCAGCAAACACAGCTGATGCCCCATCCGATTCCGTTAACGAATCGCCCGAGATGCGGGCAACAGATCCGACTAGGCCCCATACATACAAGTACACTTCATAAAATCGATGAGCTAATTGTAAAGCTGCCAAAATCACACAAAATAGAGAAGAGTATGACAGCAACCGCAAGCAGTAACGAAAAGTGCAAACCTAGTGAACTTATTGCGCAAAGTTCAAGGGTTGCCGTAATAATGAAAAGATAGCGAGGAAGCAAGCAAGCGCTGAAAATTGATAATCCCGCACCCACAAAGCTGCGGATGAAGTTTGCCGGGCTGCCACGAAGCCCTCGCTCTCTGCACTCCTGGTTGCCTTGGCTTGGTTATTAAGTGGCGCTAAAGTTGCGCCACACACAAATGATAATTGGGCATTGAGCCGCGTGGCGAACAGAGCGGCAAGCACGAGTATACTATATATACCCGGCAGCTGCAGTCCAAGTTCCAAGTTGGAGCCGAAAATGCATAATTAACACAAAATAAAGCTCAAGTTCAGGATGTTGAGACAGCGCATCATATTTTCTTTGGCTTTATTTATTTTTCTTCATTATTTCTTTTCGGTATTCATTTCCAGCCCAACTACTTGTATGTACGAGTACTTGAGAGACTAGCGCCCCAGCTTTTGAAATTCCCATTCAAGATTATCTAGGGGGCACACCTGACGCGCTCTTAGCCAATGCGAAATGCAATGGAAATGGAAGGCATGGTTGCACACGCCCCAGGCCACGGTGCATTCCTCGAAAGAGCTGAGATTCGGATTGGCCTGGCATTCGATGCACATGTCCATGATGGGATTGCGACAAATGGCGCAGTTGTCGACAGCAATGTCTGCGGGGTCGTAGGAAATGGGTCTGATTGTCTGTGTCTGCGTGGAATCAAGATGCCCCTTCCTTACCCCAGGCCCACAAAGCCACTGCATTCCATTTCTTGACTTCAAAACGCTTCTTGCTCTTGGTACAATTGAGGCTGCACATAGGCAGCTCGGCATCGACTGGCGGCTCTTGCTCCAGCTTTTCCTCGGATTGGTCATCGTGGACGATGACATACATTTCGTCAGAGCCAGACTGATCCATAGCGTGCTAATTTGGTTGAGAATCTGTTAGTATATGTATTTTGTAAGAGAATAAACTAGAATGTATACTAAATTCTATGAAGTATCACAGAATGACAGTTGCTTAGGCGCTTGTGTTGTTTTCATTATAAAACAAGTCTTTACATATGTATGTATAGAATAATTATAGAAATTAAAAAAATAAGAATTTAAAAAATTGATTGTATTATACTTCCTTTGGTATTCGAACTCACGTAAAGGGTGTATAACTGTACATTTACATAGGAATTGTGTCTATGCGAGTATATGCATGTCTATGCGTGTCGATTCGTGTCTGTGGGCAGTTAAACATTGAGGCAGCCGAGGCAGCCACAACAACAACAGGTGCGGGCAGCGATTGGTAGAGAGAACCTATATATGGCTATAACTTCCTTTAAAATACGGACTCATAATCACTAACTGCAGATATTTTTTCAAATTTATCTAAAATCTGTCTCTGAGATCCAGCTGTTCATACGGACGGACGGACAGACAAACAAAGATCGACTCGCCTTGTCACGTTGATCAAGAATATATATACAATGTGGGGTCGACCACGCCTCCCCCTGCCTGTTACATTTTTCAGGTACTTTTCAGATATATTTCATGTACAGAGCATAAAAACTTTAATTGCAAGTCGTATTTATTGTGATCGGCTGTAAGGGTTTTGTTTACTGAAACAATATATATACTATAGTTCGAGAGAGAACAATGAAACTTGCCAGTTGAATTTGTAATTTATGTTCCAAGTTATACAAAAACAGAGCCTCGTTGGTATTGTCATCACTCGATGTTTTATTGTCGATATCATCCTTGGCTTCAACTGGACGTGGAAGGATGACAATAGTACCGTGAGGATATTTGGTGCGCAACATTTGATAGGCTTGTATATTGTCCAATATCCAATCTTTATAGTATGACACATTGGTGTAAACGCCTGGTGTCTTGGGTACGGCACACTTGAGGCCCCACGATACAATGCCAGCCAGTTGTTTGTTGCAGACAAGCGGACCGCCCGAGTCCCCATTACAGGCATCGCGCTGCCCCTCTTCTAAATAGCCTGCACACATCATGCCATCAACAAGAAAATCGCCATAGATGCTCTGCATCCTGCAATCCTTGTCACTTATCAGCGGCACATCAACGACCAGCAGCTCGATCGATGTTTCATTTTCCTCCGTCAAGCCCCAACCAGTGACTTGGCATATTGTGCTCGGCCTAACAGGAGTCTCAGAGAGATTGATGGGCTGCACAGTTTTATGATTTTCAGGCACCGAGGCATTTAGAAATATTAATACCAAGTCGTCCTTGTGTGTCGACAAATTAAACTTGTCCAGGGGAAATATAATATCGGCCAGATCGAAGACCAACGTGCGCTTGCTGCGTCGGAAGCGATCCTGCGTGCCCATAGTCACAATAAAATCGGACTTCGGCAAGAACGTTCCATCCCCAATTTCGGGGCTACAAAAAACAAACAAAGTGCATACGAAAACATCTATGTTTGCGAACTCCCTTACACCATTTCTTACTCACTCCACAAAGCAGTGAGCCGCTGATAGCACAATGTTGGGCATAATTAGGGAACCGCCACAAATGTGTCCCGAACCAAAGGGAAAGTCCGAATCGCGACGTCTTAATGAAATCTGATGCTTTGTTTTGCTCCTATCTGCCTTACTTCCATTAATAATGCGCGCACTACTCAGTATTGAACGCTCAAGGTGCGGGTACTCCGCAAAATCAATTGTGGATGCGTTTTGCTGCATCGTCAATATCAAGGACAACAGCACCAGCCAAGCTGAGTCCTCGCTCATGTTCGACTATTGTAACGATTTTCGCTGATGAACTTTTTTTTCGTGCACTAAATGCAAATGTTACTCGATTAAAGAACTCCAATGAACTACAAACTTAAAGAAAACAAGAGAGAACGCTACAGTCGAGCAAGCCCGACAGTAAAATAGCCTGTACTCTCAAAAAAAAAAATTAAATTATTAAAAAAAAATTAAATTAATTAATTAAATTAATAAAGAACATTTATTTAATACATACACAGGAGACATCTTTATGTACAGTTTTAACAGCATACATTTACATCGTCGTGTCTATGCGTGTTTAAATGCGTGTACAACTATGTATGCAGCAGAAAGTTGAACCAAAGCAGCAACAACAACAACAGCTGCGAACAGCGCTGCGGGCAGCGCAACAAGCAGAGCATGGGCAGCGATTTTATTTATGGCTATAACTTTCTTCAGAATCGACCTATCATGATGAAACTTGGCATACAGACACATAATCACTAACGGGATGTAGTTACCAAATTTTAGTTCTAAATTCCAAGAACTACGAGAGTTATGGAAAAAAACACGAATTGCGGGGGAGTGGGGGGTTGTATCAGAATAAAAAAAAATAAACTTGACCTGCCTATGGCTTATGGGAATGTGGATACCAAGTTTGGTTATTCTGGCTCTTGTACCTTCTGAGATCCTTGCGCTCATACAGACGGACGGACGGACGGACGGACATGGCTATATCGACTCGGCTTGTCACCCTGATCAATAATATATATACTATGTGGGGTTTGCCACGCCTCCTTCTGCATGTCACCTCCCGCAAACTCTGTACATTTTAGACCTATTAGACCCATTTTAGACCCTCAATTTTTTAATTAAATACATATATTTGAGATTTCTTATTGGTGTGCATTAGTGTGTAGTTTTTAATTTTCAAATATTTCTGACTATCAAATAATTTCAATAATTTTAAATCAATTTGTTAGTAGTGGCAGAAGTTCTTAACTAAATCATGGCCAACAAGCATGCAGGGTCTTCATTTTTCATAAATATTCAATAGTGATATCTCATCAGCAGCTATTTGTCGAGCTTTTTTCTCGACCAACATCAACCACTACTGGCCAGAATATAGTGTTCACATGACACTACCGATAATTGCGTGGCCATGGAACACATCTCATAGAGCAGTAGTACATTATGTCACTCATGCATTCAACGCCCGACTCGCTCTTCAATCGTTCTTTCTTTCTTTCTTGCAGTTGCCAACTGTTTTGCCATGACGCTTAAGTCAACATTAATTTAAATGAGTTGCCACTTAACTTTTAATTAAAAATGCACTTTTTATTTATTTAGCTGGAAATGGGAATGGACCGAGTCAGGCCGGGCACGGCAGCTCCAGCAGCTACCCATCGAGTATATGGCCCCCACTTATGCACCACCACCAACGTCCTTGCCACTCCACACTTTGACTTAAAAGTAGCGCAAACTAAAAAATGGCTAAAAAGTGGTCCGGGAAGGCAGCGGTCTCTGCGTTTCATATAAATTAAAGTTTGTGTTATTTTATTCTGCTTGAAATGCGTCCAAATGCTTTTATTTAATTTTTCATGCTTTAATTGCTATCAAAATAAATAAATGAATAGTGCAGTTTTGAAGCGCCCGGGCTCGGCGCCTGGGTAATATTTTGTTTCAAGAAATAAATTCCAAGAGCTGCATTCTACACCACACACTCCTCCCACTGCGATTTGCATATTTAATTTGCATTAATTGGAATAATTTTGCGCTATTAGAGTAGCTGAGTAATAATATTATTATTTTAATTTTGCACAACCTCTTGATTTATGTGTGGAGGTGCAGAGGAAAGGACTGTGGCTATGAAAGAAAAAGAGTAGATGCTCACAGCATTAAGACTATTTGATGGATCAGTTCAGCGAGAGGGTTCATTGGATACGAGTATTCCAATTGTAATTGTAATTGGGAATTGAGGTTTTGAAAACGTATTGCTCCGCATCAAGCCAAATAGTACTAATTAGATTAAAGTTAATTTTTAAGATAATACTCATATTTGTAATTAAACGTAAGCGAGTGGAAATTGCCATGTGTATGAAAAACATTTTAGAGTTAGCTCTTACCCTTTAAATAATAGTTGGTCAACTTTTTCAACTGCACACACTTACATTTTACTTCAATCAATCAAATATATTATATAATTATTTAATTTTCTTCCATAAAATGAAAAGTTGCAAGCCCGCTTTAATGATTACATTTTTGTGCTTGTATAGTTGGTTCTATTGATCTAAATGGAAACCTGAAACAGTCCGTTTATATAACAGTTTAAAAATGTTGGCACCAGCTGAAAATATAATTAGATGGTTTTACATCTTGAGTGACTAAGTTTGTATTAAATATAATAGATTTCATTTAAATTTTTGTCGATGTAAATATTTTGTGTAAATTGTGTGAAAGGATGAGTGAATAATTTAGAAAAAGCGTATTTGATACGCAAATGCAAGACAGTGTATTTTCATTTTGTGTTTCGATTTTATTTTTATGCTCAGCACTTCGCGTAATACTTTCTTCTCCTCTAGGAAAATGAAAATGCTTGCCCTTATACTATGGATTGCTTCCCTCAGTGGATTTCAATGAGGGATAGCTGCAAGCTACTTTTTAAAATTCACCAAATTGTTAACAATTTGCACATTAGACGTTGTCGCTCAGATAATTTGTTATCGCAACACCAGCTTCTAGTACATGGATGTGTTAATTATGGCTGCAAGACATTTGCAATTAATTACGGTTGATACTTGTATGTATATATTACTCGTGTAGTATAACACTTTCACACACACACACACACACAAATTATGTGTTACAATGTAAGTGTAACTGCAACCTGTTCCCCAACCAGTCTCGGCCGAAAGGACATGGCGAAGCGCCGCACGCATATTAAAACATTTGTATGCCAGTTTTGGTTTATTGAACTGTTTACTAAGGTTGCAGCTTTGTCACGCACAAAACACAAAACACAGATCTTACACACACACACACACATATACACACACACACACACACACACATGCGCACACTTGTTGGGTCCCTCAGTGTGACGGGAAAACACCTTGACATACTGACAAGAATGTGTAACAAAACTGTAGCAATAGCTAGGAGCTGGATAGCAAGCATAGGACTCAAACTAGCTGACCACAAGACAGAGGTGCTACTTGTAAGCAGCAGGAAAAAAGTAGAGTTCATAACAATAGAAGTAGGGAATGAACAGATCACCTCAAAAGCAGCAATCAAGTACCTGGGAGTAATGATAGACAACAGACTCAACTACAAGGAGCACCTCAAATATGTTGGAGGACGGTGTGCTGGAGTAAGCAATGCCCTAGCACGAATAATGCCCAACCTTGGTGGACCGAGGCAAGACAGAAGGTTACTATTGATGAATGTAGTCACATCAGTAGCCCTATACGCAGCGCCCATCTGGTCTGAAGCAATGGCTAAAACTTCATATAAGAAGCACCTGCTCTCAGCCTACCGAAGGTGTGCCCTTAGGGTATCTTTCTCGTTCCGTACTGTATCAACGGAAGCAGCAATAGTAATCGCAGGACTGCCACCGCTAGAGCTGCTGGCAGAGGCAGAAAAGCAGAGGTACCTTGGCAGAAGAACCGGCGTAACATACTCCCGGAGGCTAAGTGATGAGGCGATGGCAACATGGCAACACCGCTGGGACACATCCACCAAAGGAAGATGGACACACAAGCTGTTAGGAAACATAAAGGAGTGGATCGAAAGGAGACATGGGCAGGTCAACTACTATTTGGCCCAGCTGCTAACAGGACATGGCTGTTTTCGCGCATACCTGCACAAATACAAGCATGACAACAACAACACTTGCCCGGAATGTGCAAGTTGCATAGAAGATGTAGAACACGTGTTCTTCCACTGTTCGCGATACGACCGCCAGCGGAACCACCTAGAAAGGGTAGTAGGGGCGCAGGTTACACATAGTACGGTAGTAAACCTGATGCTGGCATCCATCGAAAACTGGACCCATGTGTGCGACTTCGCCAGAGAAGTCATAAAGCTACAAAGGATGGCAGAAAAAGAAAGAGCTGCAACCCTAGAGATCAGCACTCGCTGAATCACCACCCCCTGAAGTCATGCTTGACGGCGGTACCGGGGGGAACACATGGTCTGGAGGATACGGATAAGGATGGGGGTTTAGTACGTAGGCGCGAGCAAGCCAAAGAGTAAGTCTTGTCTCACATGCGAATCGTGCATATTGGTAGCTCGGGCTACCAATATCTTTCGAAGATTACCCAGCCTTTAGCTCGTATAGCTATAAAAAAAAAAAAAAAAAAAAAAAAACACTTGTTGGGTCTGTGGAGCCCAGCCGCCCACTCATTTCGCCTATTGGCTGCACATTCGCTTCATTTTCAATTGATGTATTTACATCCGTTTGTAATTTCCTACGTGTGCATGAATACATTTTCCGAATTTAACAAATGCCATACAGTCAGTCAACCAACTAAAATGCTCCCACACCCACATACACGATTACATATATGTACATATATGTGTGTAGACACTATACTATACATATAGATGTGCACATCAAAATGCTTTTTGAAACATTTACCGTTTTGGCCCGACTGTGTCTGCACATGGGAACAGTATCAACAGCCATGACAGCACGTTGTATTGCCTTAATTTCATCATCCTACCTCTGGTGCATGCAAATTTTGTTGCCCTTCCCAGCGCCTCCCCATAGCAGCAGTTTCAATGGTTGAGTCAATATTACGACTATTGATCGGGGGACTGGACAGGAAGTATTAAGCTATTCTGTAACTAAATTGCTAAACTCTATCGAAGTCTTTAAGCAAACATGTGTACAATGATTTAAAAGCTTTTGTCAATATAAGGAGAATTACCAAATTCATTATTAATGATATCTAAAAATATATTGCTGGGACATATGCATATGCACATACATAAAAAATGTCTAGTATTTTTCTTCTTCC